TTCTTTCCTTGAGTATGTTGTGTTTGAAACTTGGGCTGGCATAGAAGAAACAATAGTTAGGGTTTCCTTGTTCAAGAGGAGAGGCAGGTGAAAATTTATAAAACTAAATTACACTAGAGGCTTTTTATAAAAATTATTAGCATTTAAAAGAAGTTTCCAAAGCTAACCTCATAGTCTCTGTATTTTACTATCTGTAAGCCTCAGTTCTACTTATAAATGAAACACTACATTTTTCCAATATTAAATATTTATTTCTTTTTACATACAAAAATATTTTACCAGGCATATAGAATTTCACAGATTGAACATTTCAATAATTTTTGTTTGGGGCAGTATCTGGAAATACGTGAAAAGAAAAATTTTATAGGGACAGCTTCTGAAAAATCAATAATTGTATTACAGAAAAATTTTATTTATACAAGGACAGTAATATCTCTTTTACACACGACTTAGCAATACAATTACTGGGAAAGCAGTAGCAATTAGTTTTTATTTTTAAACTTTTTCATCAGAAACTTACTTTAGCAGCTTGTTTAGCTTTGATTTTTAGGTTGCCAACAAGATTTTGTCCTCCGTTTAAAAAAAAAAAGTCCTACAATCACTTCACAGACTAGAGGTTAAAAAGAGCATGCATCTGTGTTCAAAATAAAGGTGAACCAAAATGAAATGGGGAACTCCCCACAGCAGGGTTTTCACAACAAACACTCATCATGGGCCCTAACGGACAGGTAGGAAATGCTGCTGGTGCCAACCCCTCGTGCTCACTCATCTACACAAAACCCGAGGCACCACTTCCTTAACAACCAATGTTACCGAGAGGCAGGAGCCAGTTCTTCTTTAAAGACAGCACACAGCCAAGAGCACCATCCATCTTGCATTTCAAGGGCAGATGGAGATGAGCTCTTCCTTGAGTCTGGTTCTATCTGGAAGCTCGAAGGCCATTTCTCATTTGGACCATGTTTCCAGAACAAGCTGTGTGTGCTCCAAGCAACGTGACTAATACCCCTGCCCATCTCTCCTATTTAAGGCTAAGAGGAAAACCACATCCTCACAGCCGAGAGGTTTTTAATGCTACGCGTTTCCCCCCTCCACACTCCCAGGCCACCTTGACTGATGTGAGGAAAAGCAAATATCAGGCATGGCCTGTCAGATTTATGTCTCTCCCCTGGCTTGCTATTTCTGAAGTACAATACGGACCTCAATTTCCGACTTTTAAAAGCGGACCTGTGGGCTTCTGCTCTATGGCAGCCTGTTCAGTGGGACCCCAAACAGGCTTACAAGCATCAAGTCTTTCATCTCCCAAGTTATAAGCACCATTTACATTCACTGTAGATGTGTTCATTTAGTTTGTGCTGAAGATTAGAAAACAGTAAAAGCTAGTAGTAAAAAAAAAAGAGAGAGAGAGAGAGAGAGAATCTTCGCTTCTGACAGACGGACTTTGGTGTGTGGAGGTCAGTTACCATTATAACGCTGCAGCGCCAGCCAGCCAATGGCTGGGGCATCAGAGAGGGTCACTGCAATGCATTCGGTCAGGTTAGAGGTCCACCAATGACCTGAGAAACAGACCCCCTTTAGACTTAATACCACCAGTTAAACAACATGAGCTTCGGCGACAAGTTTCAGGCGTAAGAACAGGGTGGAGCAGCTTTAAGGGGCAAAGATCAGTGTGCCTTGTGATGTAGGAGAGCACTGGATTGCTTACTTAATTGATTTGTGAGTGGTCTGGTTGGCAGCAAGGACTGCTAAGCGTTTCAACTTGGAAAGGGATTGTAAACTAACACGGACCTCCTGCCCTGGGCCACTGGGAGGGAACAGACCCTCTTCCTGCTCAGAGCTGTTCTAAAGCTGGAGGCAAGATTCCAGGATGGTGCGCACCAGGTTCTGTTAGCTCCGGAAGAGGGGCACTTAACAGAATGAAGAGACAAGTAACCTCAATGCAAGCACATACATATAACAGACAGACAAAGTAGACTTCCTAGTCTAGCATTTACCATATCAGAACTACAGATTACGTTTTGTAATTTAAGCTGAAGACAAATATTAAGTTAGCCTTATTTAACAAATGGAATATTAAAAGTAAAGGAACATAAAAATTTTACTAAAGGTCAGGAGTCAGAATTAGTATCTCAGTCATTTTTATCAAAGGAGCAACTTTTAATGAAGGTAGTGCAGTATACTGCAGAAGTGAAAACCACGCTTTTAAATTCTTACCTTAGACATTTGATATCATCATTTCCTTCACTTTTTGGCGATTAAAGACTCATTTTTTATTCTGTGCACTAAATCATTGCAGGAACACAGAAAGTAACATGACAGATTATGGGAAATATTTTAAACATGAATAAAACTTGAAGCTAACAAAAAAATTATTTAAAAAATAATCTTACCTTAAAAAATTACATAACTGTTATCTTCCTCAGCTATACAATGTCTATTTACATAAAAACGGATATGATGCTGAATTATTAGTCAATGGAATTCATTCTTAAGTTTGTGAATAATTTTCACTTGTACTATATACAATAATCTTATCATTAAAATAGTGCATCTGGCCCTTTTTAATGCGGGAGAATCCTGGGCCGCTGGGCCTGCCTGCCCCGGTTTGGTTCACTGGATAGAGCGTCGGCCTGGGGACTGAGGGGTCCCAGGTTCGATTCCGGTCAAGGGCATGTACCTTGGTTGCGGGCACATCCCCAGTAGGGGGTGTGCAGGAGGCAGCTGATCGATGTTTCTCTCATCGATGTTTCTAACTCTCTATCCCTCTCCCTTCCTCTCTGTAAAAAATCAATAAAATATATATTAAAATAGTGAATCTGCCCTAAGAACTCAAAATACATTATAAATGTTATTACATAAATGCTCTCAGCACATCCTTTGGAACAAGAGGAGGGCAGGTACCATAATCTCTAAGCCTGAACCATATAACAAATTCATTAGGTTTAAATAAGAATTTCCCAAGAGGTTTCCGTCTAGCACTTTCCTTTTTCCTTAAGGAAATTAAGTTATAATGTTAACTTTATGGGCTTAATACTTCATTTATTTTTCAAAAAGGAGATTAGTACCTGACTCAAGGTAAGCCCTTTCAAACAAAGTGAAAAAAGTTCCTGAATGCTTAAGAATTTGGAAGTAATCAAAAATTTAAGAATATGAGTTATAATTACATGGGTGAAATATATTTAGTTTTATTATTCATGTATTTTGGGAGAATTTTACATAGTCTACACATAGCTGCATATATACTATATATATATATATATATATATGGTGACTTAAACATTTAAAAAATGACCTGCTATCCATATACACAAAATTTCAGGATTGCCTTTTCCATATTTAGTATAAAGGTTCATTATTAAAAAATTATTGGCTCTCTAGCCTGTGATTTCTGGAAAAATTGAATATTTTTTCAGAAGTTGTAAAAGTACAATGTTAAGCAGGTCATTATTTTGATCAATTTTCAAATTTTTATGCTCAGTGTTTACCAATTCAAAATAATTGTACCTAATTCCATGGCTATCCACCTTGAAAATCAACTCCAATCATGATCATGACACTTGTTATACATAAAAATAAGTACCAATTTAATAAAACTTTAAAGATCATTGTTTATTGTTATTAGGATATTATGGTCAAAACAACTAGTATCTGGCCATAATCTATAATGCCACATTATTGTATTTTACTGCTAGTTTGTATTTTCTAAATTTGTATTAATTACCAATTTGCTCTTTTAAGGAAAATGTGTCGTCAGCAATTATAAGTAAATTTTGCTAAATTATAGAATTTAGGTTCAAGCTACTTTTGCAGTAGTCATATTGGGTTTATGATAACGATTTTTAGTAAGCAGTGCTCAGCAATTGTATACTTAGAGTTGGCAAGAGTAAATCAAGCCCTGATGTACTGGATATTTGATATTACCGAAGCATCAAAAAGAAATTGAGAATGCACAATCAAGGCATGGCTGTAATAAAGGTGAAATTCCACTTATAGCACATCAGGTATATTCCAGTAATTAGGGTTAAATTTTACTTAACCAGAGACATCAACTCTGGATATTTTTACATTTGAAAGTGAAAAATATGTGTATATCTACTTATATATAAACAGTCATGCCCTGAATGCGGGTACTCGCCTGTCCACAAGGAATCCTCGGGTCGTCAATGTCCAAACAGGAACATCCTATTTCCCGAAAGCATAAACACGTGTGTGTGTGCACTGTGACTATTAGCAATCGTTCAACATCACTTCAAACCACTTTCTCTTCAGCAACACTAATCATCTTAGCCTTACTCACGGCTGCGGAAGAATCCTGGGCCGCTGGGCCTGCCTGCCCCGAGATCCCTGTGGTTCCTGCAGACTCAGATGGCACTCGAGTTCCAAGTTCAGTGGCTTTATTGAGATACAATGAACTTTTCTAAATGTATTCTCTTCAACTCTGGCTTCTCGGCTGAAATGAACTAAACTGCATCACTTATTTCATATTAGTAGGGAACTAGTGTGTATTTAATAGTTTCTGATGAGTACCATTTATAATAGAAACAACTCCTTTACATATAGACTATTTTCTAAATAATATGCACTTTATCCCATATGATAAAGCTAAAAATACATATGATGTAAAAATCATCTCTATTTTGCCAAGATGGTTGAAATAATTTGTGGAGAAGCTGTCTGTGCTGCTATAAGGATCCCAAAGCTGTTCACAGACGAAGGCACACAGAGAATGTGGAAATGAAATTCCTCTTAAAACTGACAATGTGTGGGAACACTCAGTCACAGGACCTCACCTCAACACTGTGCTTGGATCCATGTTGCTCGGAGAAGCCAATAATGTGACGTACATATAGGCGGTTTAAAAGTTACCGAAGATATTAAATGAATGTGATACATTTTGCCACCAATTTCCTATCCTATGGACAAAGAACATGAATTTGTGTTCTGGATATGAAATCCTGGAATTTAAAAATATCTATGGATTTCCACTCTTAAAATACAACAACTTGAGAGTTTTGTTTTATTGTGAAAAGATTTACAACAGTGTGTGCGTACCACTCACCACCTGCATTTCCCCCTCCTCCAGCCCTCCCGCGGGCATTCCATGTGACAGCCCCGTGACGGAGAACAGGCAGCAGCCAGGTGCCTGGTGCCTGCCACCAGTCAAAGACAACCACCACCGGGTAAGGACCGAACCCTTCAAGTGTGAGGACCTCTATGTGAAAAGCGAGCAGCAATATAAAATATGGATGACTTCGTTCGATGATGAGCCGCATCTCTGAATACTTTTCAGGAAGAAAGTATACCATACAAGAATCCTAAAGGAACGTATTAACTGAGGTTGATTTGGAAATTTGTATATATTAATGCATCTAGAGGAGAACTGTTTTTTCCCCCTAATCATTAAACAAAAGTGCATTTCCTTACAGAAATGTAAAAAAATTTAATACATATTATATAATATATACAATGTATATATTATATAATGTATATGTTATATATAGTAGGTAAAATAGCTGACCATTATTTCCAAATTTTAAAAATCATTCAGTGGTCTGGGTTTTCTACACAACAAATCGAACAGATAACCTTAACGATCACATCATACTTCAAAAAGCACACTGGTTGTTCGCAGCCCCAAACTTCAAACTCAAAGGCATCTTTACGCATCACAGAAAAATGCAGAGGCATGATACAGTTGCTGACCACAGCCCAATAAAAACCTGTGTAAGAAGTTCGTTTTTGTCCATTAAATTTTTACCTGTGAAAAAAAATAAACGGCAAGTGTCATGTTGCTGTTTTACAGGAGGCACTCTGAGCCCACCCAGCTTGCTTGCTGTGTACACGGTAACTTCACATCAGCCTGTCTTTGCGACAAATGAGAGTGCAAGGTATTGCTCTTCATTTTTTCACTAAAGATAGAAATGAAGGGGGAAAAACCCAATGCATCTGTACAAATCAGAACGGACAGCCATAGATCTCTGAAATAACAAAGCTATGTAGCATTGAGCAGACTTCTGATGTCAGATTTGGATGGTGGTAGACTTGCTGTAGCACTGACATTCAGGTTCTGCTCCTTTAAGAAATTATAGTAGGAAAGAAGGCCAATAACGATATTCTAGAGTAACTTCCCCTTCACTTGTTAAATACTGAGCTAAATGGCAACTTTACAAAACTATTTCAAGTATTCATTATCACAGTGAAAATGTGAGACCAAGGTTCGAATGAGTGAGTTGGAAATTCTTGTGATGAAAAAGGCAAGGGCACTAAATCAAAACATATACAAAATGCTTCAACGCATTTCTTTATGTGATATGAATAGATTGTCCATAAAAAGTTAGAAAAATTAAGATAAATTATATTAGTACCCCTTCCCAGCCACACTGTCTATAAAAATTCAGAAGAGTGTACTGGCATTTCAATCTACGGTAAAAAGGCCTGGCCTTGCAGACATCTTCTCCGTGCACGCGTTTTCCCAGGAGTAAGTTTATTTGCTGTCGTCACTTTCTAAAAGCTGCATTTTAATTGTGAACCTTATTGACTCATCAGTAAACCCAGCTGATGGGGACCCACTGTGGCTCCATTCTCAGGTTCTCTATGGCAGTTTGTAGTTTCTCAAAGGCTTTGTCTAGATTGTCGTTTACGATGATCAAATCAAAATAGTGGTTGTATGCTCTCTGAATTCGTGCACTTTCATCCACTGTTTTCTTCAAGTCAGAGTCCTGTCGAAGAGTTTTAAAAGGAAATGTTTTTATTATAATGTATATTTACTTGCTCAAATAGCAACTCAGAGTGAACATAAGAAATTAGTAGCTTGGATAAATTTTTATTGTGATTCTGATATTAATTCTAAAAATCTAATCCATAGAGTGTTAAAAAGACATTACCACCTGTTCCTGTACCCATCTTCCCAGCCGCGTTCATGTTTGTGCTTATGAGTACCCTGTATCTTCTGTTTCATTGACATTAGGATAAGATTCCTAATTTAAAAGACTGCTGATAATAATTTTAGGATGAAATCTAATGGACTCTAGATGATGGAACCCAATTTCTAGTGACTGTTAAGCTCAAAGCTAAATTTGCTGCCTATTTCCAGAAAAGAAAATCTTACACATGTATTTTTGAAGACTAACTTCACATTATTATTTTTTTTGCTAGCATTATTTATATATTATAGAATATTTCTAGTCATTTTAGAATGATGTAGGGGAGTACATAATGGGTTCTGCATGAATAAGAAAAGCTTTTACAAGTGTTTTGAAATTTCACAATTCTACATGTTCTTCAAATACTTATTGAGTTTCTATTAAAGTGTCTACTGTGTTTCATTATTTATGGATATAACAATGAATAGGACAGAGGGGGTTCCTACCCTATAGTGAAGGAGACAGATAAAGGGCAAATAAACACAAGAACTTGTGGAGTTGTAGTAAGTTCTATAAAATAAAAAAATCAGGAACAACGCATTTTAAGAGATCTACTTACAAAGACACTGAGTACATTACTTTTAAACTGAGAACCAAGTGGGAGAAAGAGCATTCCGGGCAGAGAAAACAGCAATGCCAAATCCAAGCGGGAAATGCCTGGATGTGTGAAGAGACCGAAAGACCAGGAGGCACAGACAGCTACGGGGTGAGGGGAGTAGTAAGTTGAGATGAACACGGAAGAGGTCATGAAGGACCCAGATGCAATGGAGACATCCCTGGATTATGATGGTGGCAAAGGGTATGGAAATGACCCAGAATATTTACCTGCGTTGGTGATAAAACCATTAGGATTAGCTGATGGGCTGGATGTGAAAAGTGAGGAAAATGACTGAATGGAGATGCTCTTGGGTTTCTAGCATGAGTTAAGTGGGTGGGTTTAGAAGATGCAGAGTTGGGGAGTAGGGATGGAGAGAACATAATTTTTTTGGGGGGCTCGGGGAGGGAAAGCAAATGTTCTACTTTGTACACATTAAGTTTAAGATGCCTGTGAGGCATCCAAGTAGGTGACTGGTTATGCAAGTCAGAGCTCTGAGGCCCGAGTCATCTATATATAAATGAGGAACCACCAGCATAACAATAGGAAAAGGACAAATTGTAGGAGGAATATTGTTAACCTAAAAAGAAGTGCTCACCGTCAAAAGCTTGGTAGCAATGCCAGCGTCCACCACAGCTTTGTGCATGGCGCGCAACGTCTCCAGCTCCGGAGCAGCGATGAAGACAACGTAGGGCATGAACTCTGATGTCCTCAGCACCTTCAGGGCCTGTGCAGGAGAACAACCACACACCGACTTACATAGGATTAGAATTTGTATTGTTTCCCTTTACTTTTCACTAAATAATCAAAGTCTATCTGCTGCTTCCTAAGGATTAAGAATATAATTGAACACTTGCCCCACTTCTATCCTTTGATTCCATACAGTACTTTCCTAAAACAGTGACCCATTAATTGTGTTCTGACCTCTCTACCCTTTGAGCTTCCTGAACAAAAAAAAAAGCATTACATTAATGAAGGACCCAAAAGTCAGCAAGAACGCTGTAAATGTTTTTTTTTTAATGTTAATTATAGAATTCTGCTAATACTGAAAAAGCTAGAAATAATTTCATTGTCTACTAGCTGGAGAGTGGTTACATAAGTTAATATACGTCTATATTATGAAATATTATGCAGCAATTACAAAGAATAAAAAAAGCTCTACAGCAATCAACATGAAAAGGTCTGCAAGAAACATCCTATATAATAAAAGGGTAATATGCAAATTGACCCTAACAGCAGAACGACTGGGAATGACTGGTCACTATGACATACACTGACCACCAGGGGGCAGATGCTCAATGCAGGAGCTGCCCCCCTGGTGGTCAGTGCGCTCCCACAGGGGGAGCTCTGCTCAGCCACAAGCCAGGCTGACGGCTGCCAGCACAGTGGTGGTGGCGGGAGCCTCTCCTGCCTCCTCAGCAGCGCTAAGGATGTCCAACTGCAGCTTAGGCCTGCTCCCCGCTGGCAGTGGACATCCCCCGAGGGCTCCCAGGCTGCCAGAGGGATGTCTGACTGCCAGCTTAGGCCCGAACCCCCGGGGATCGGGCCTAAACCACCAGGTGGGCATCCCCCGAGGGGTCCCAGACTGCGAGAGGGCACAGCCTGCTAAGGGACCCCCCTGAGTGCACAAATTTTTGTGCACCGGGCCTCTAGTTATTTAATAAAAAGAACTAAAGAATTTATATGGAATTTTTCATTTATGTAAAAGAATCAATAAAAAGAGAAAACATTATATATATGTATATGTGTACATATATTATAGGGTGTCCCAAAAAATGTATACACACTTTAATAGCTGATAGCTATTAAAATGAAATGTATTTTAATCAACACTGCTTTTATAATTATTCAAAGTGTGTGTATACATTTTTTGGGACACCCTGTATATACTAGTATGTGTGTGTGTACACACACACACACACACACACACACACACAAATATATAATTTTTTACTTAAGGCATACTAAAAAGATAGAAAGATACACACCAAACTCAATAATATTTACCTCTGAGTAGGGAAGCAGAAGGGTGGGAAGGGGTCAGTGAGAGAGACAGAATGGGATGGGAATGAAATGAATATTTGTGTGTGTGTGTGTGTGTTGGGTGGGAAGGGCCGTGACTGCAAATTTTTATTCTTTTTAATTATCTTTAATTTAAAAATTCTGTCAACTACAGTTTAAGTTGAATATTATTTTACATTAGTTTCAAGTGTACAGCACAGTGGTTAGACAATCATATACTCTATAAAGTGCTCCCCCTGATACTTCCAGTACCAAACTGGCACCATACATAGTTATTGCAGTATTACTATATTTCCTAGGCTGTACTTTACATCCCATGACTATTTTGCAGTCTGGTTTAAATTTTAAATTTCACATTTTCTAATGTATGCATTTATGTATTACTTGAACAAGTAAACAAATACGAAACTTCTGTCATGTTTCTAGTGCTTGGCTAACTGATCAGAGATTTATTTAACTAGTGGATGCATAACAAGGTTCTCTATCAGGTAATGGAAGGAAAGGGCTACCTTCACAATCTCAAATCAAAACAAAACAAAAACTCCAAGGGAAATAAAATTTAAAATCAGCTTTGAAATCCATGCAGCTTACTTGTGGGTTGACATCCAAAATGCAAGTTCGTCCAGTTTGGACAACTTCAAGAATAGAGTCAATCTTGGTTCCATAGAGATTTCCTTCATATTCCCCATGTTCCAAATATTTTCCAGCTTTAATATCTGCTTCCATCTCAGACCGTGACACGAACTTATATCCCTGGCCATCTTTTTCATCTTCCCTTGGTTTCCTTGAGGTAACTAAATAAAATAATGTTGAGAATTTACACAAAGAGAATGCAGGATTTTAGAAAACAGACTAAAATGAACAGGGTAGCTTAAGATGCTTCTGTTTAGTGCCTACGGCCATATCTGCCTGCTTCCTATTTTTGCAGATAAAGTTTTATTGGACCACAGCTACGCTCATTCTTCTTACCTATGCTTCACTTGTTTTATACTGGTGGAGTAGTTGCGGGAGAGACTAGATGACCTGCAAAACCTAAAATATTTACCACGTGGCCCTTGAGCAAAATAATTTGCTGATCCCTCATTTATAGGAATGCTTTAAAAGGTAGTTCCCAATATATAATTTGTATCCAAAAAATGTGCTAGATAAGGTCAGTTTGAAACTCAAAATATGGTTACCTGGAAGCAGAGTCCTGCATCTAAATTCTTAATTGTGGTGAATCCTAGGAAGTGTGAGATATGTTGCAAATGAGTATCTTTTCCAGCTGACCCGCACTTACTCCCCTTTCCTAAGGAATATCAATTATGTCCTCTCTTTTCACTTTAACATTTCTTAATTGAGTGCCAAGCAACTGAGCAAAGTTCTCCTATTCTTAGTTGGTATTATCAATTTTCTGAAGTGTACTTTACCCACAAATTATCCTTTATTTTGTCTCAAAGCCTTTATTTCAGCTTCCTGCTTATTTATACTCCTAATTATTATATTTTGTGCTTTAGTGGTGGAACTAGCCATCTCAAAGTTATTAAGGTCTATTAACTTTCTCTATTCTGATCTGATATGTGTATTCTTGTTCAGAGAATGAGAACAAAGAAACCAAGTGGAAATTTAGAGGATCCTTTTGTCTGACATTTTAGAGCTCTACTAGTAAATACTTCCGGAGACATACAACTCCCCTGCAACTTGGGCCATACTAGGAATGGACTATTATCACCTTTCAAACTGTTGCAAAGATGCAGAGATAGGTACTCTCTGCCAACCTGTTAATACTAGCTTGGAAGGAGGGAAAGAAGGGAGGAGAGGGAGAGGGGGCACAAAAGAGAGCTACTTTCAAATTTAGCCTTAATCTGAGCTTGGCTGGATCAGATATAAAAAAATTTTCAACTTCTAATCAAATACTTATGCGTGCATAGTATCTGAAGAAACCATTAAACACATACACTTAAAATTAGAAAGTAATCCAGATCAAAAGGTGATGGTATTTAGACTATCTATAACAGTGGTTCTCAACCTTGGCTGCACATTAGAATCACCTGGGAATCTTTTTAAAATCCTGATTTCTGGGCCTCATCCTCCGGAAATTCTGTTTCTTTGTTACTGATGTTGTGGCCCCACCTCATAACAAAGAAACAGAATTTCCGGAGAATGAGGGCCCAGAAATCAGGATTTTAGAAGATTCCCAGGTGATTCTAATGTGCAGCCAATGTTGAGAACCACTGATCTATAATAAGCATTAACACATCAAGAAAACTTTTATAACAAAATGAACTTCAAACTCAATAAATCAAACAAGTGTTGCCGAGGATGTGAAGAAAAGAACAAACCCTTGTGCGTGGTTGGTGGGAACGTACATTGGTGCAGCCAATGTGGAAAGCCATACGGAGTTACCTCAAAGAATTAAAAATGGAACTGCCTTATGACCCAGCGATTCCATTTCCGGGAGTATATTCGAAGAAACCCAAAATACTGATTCGAAACAATATATGCACCCCTTTGTTCACTTCAGCATCATTACAATAGTCAAGATTTTTGGAATCAGCCCAAGTGTCATCAGTACACGAGTGGATAAAAAGGCTGTTGTACATTCACACAATGGAATGATGTATGGTGGACCTGGAGAGCATTACGCTAAGTGAAGTAAGCCAGTCAGAGAAAAACAAATGCCATATGATCTCACTTACATGTGGAATCTAACGAACAAAATAAACTAATATACAAAATAGAAAAGGACTCATAGATACAGAGAACAGACTGACAGCTATCAGAGAAGAGGGGTATTAAGGAGCTGAGTGAAAAAGGTGAAGAAATTAAGCAAACAACAACAATCCCTCATAGACACAGACAACAACAGTACGGTGATTGCCAGAGAGAAAAGAGAGTGGGGGGAGGTAGAAGAGGGTAGAGAGGGATAAATGGTGATGCAAGGAGACTTGACTTGGGGTGGTGGACACACCATACAATATGCAGATGACGTGTCATAGAATTGTACACCTGAAAGCTATGTGCTTTTATTAACCAATGTCACCCCAATAAATTCAATATATTTTAAAAATGGGGACCTTCACACATTGCGGTGAGTGTAAATAATATGGCCACTGTGGAGAACAATGTGGCAGTTTCTCAAAAGGTAGTCACAGAGTCACTATTGGACCTACCAATTCCGTTTCTGAGAAAGAGAAAACACACATGTCCACATAAATACCTGTACACAAATGTTAACAGCAGCATTATTCATTACAGCTAAGAAACAGAGCAATCCAAATGTCCATCAAGTGATGAACAGATAAACAAAACGTGGTGGAGCCAGAAAATGGAATAGCATTCAGCAATAAAAAGAAGCTAAGTGTTGACAGCAGCTGAAACACGGATGAACCTTGAGCACTTCGGTAAATAAAGAAGCTATCATAAAACATCACATTCTGCAGAATTACATTTCTGTGAAATGTCCTGATAGGCAAATTTTATTGTGGCAGAAAGCCCACTAATCATCAGCATGAGTTAAAGAATATGCACACAAAGGCAAATCATTATTAAATTCAAAATACTGAAAAACAACAAAATATAACAAAGACCCTGAATATCTGTGAAACAGGTCATGCACAAAATAAGAATTT